AAGGGAAGAAAAGATCTACGTAATATATTTAGCACTTGTACAGGAAAGTTAGTGGAAAAAATGTTCCTTCTTGCTTATCATTATTTATTTATTTATCTATTATGTGTTTATTTATTTATTATTTATATAGTGTGGTGGGAGTGCGCGCATGTCACATTTTTTATACGACAACACCTGCTAGTTAAGCGACAGAAATGTTTTAATGGGAGAGGTAAAAGTTGTTGTCAGGAAATAAACGCTTTTATTTTGCTTATTTAGGCTTTTGGAATGATGCAAATTAATCATTTGCAGGTTGCGAATTCTTGGTACAAAATTTCCAATTCTAATCGCTTTTTTTTTTTCAAAAATGCTCAATCTCTCTTCTTTTAATATGATTTATCAAAAAAAAATTTATTAGTTCTTCATCTCCATCCCGTGTCGTTTTGAACCTATATGCAATAGCTCAGATTTCAAGATTCTTTACAAAAAGATTATTCACACATGGTCAATCTTATCACCAGAAAGTTGATCAATCACGAAAATTTCTCCTATTACGATGAAATGTTTTCCTTTTCGATTGTGTGGTTATGATTTTCCAGACATTCACCACTCTTGTAAGTTTTAAATAGTTAAGAACCAGTGAAATGTGAATAAATTGCATTGAAATATTTTAAAGGATAGTTGTTTTTAATGCAATTCTTATATATATGAGAAACTGGACAGCATTTGGGTTCTACGTTTCTTTACTATTTCTGCGAAATCGTTTTCAATTTTGAAGAGTTTTTATCAATCTCAGTATTAGGCTTGACGCTTGTGGCAGTTTTTTCCTTATGTGAAAAACGCCGTTTCTTCGTAGAAAATAAATTTTCGAAGAATTATCAAATGAACAACAACAACAAGGAAATCAATATAACAAAGTATTTTTTACTAAAATAACGATTTGGAAGCTTATTTATACAATGCTAACGTCTACAACGACTAATATCTACTTCAATACTATTGAACAGGATTTATTCTAGAATAATAAACTGACCTGCATTTTGGACTAACGTAGTGACAAATACCGAATGCAGTATGAAATGTATTTGATAATATACATGAAATTGCCTTAACATACACTAAGCTATGATATTTCCCCTAAATCGAATTACCCTGTCTCAAAACTGATCAATGTTCAGTTCATTCCATTTTTATCTTCTTTTATATAGCGGACCAAATGCGTGGATCCCGTATTTAATCCAGAATTACTACCGACCCTGTAGCGCTGTATTACAGCGTTTTGTGAGTACCTTAACCATATGCTTTGAAATTAATACCTAAAATTTTCTTCTTAAACGGCAGCTGGTGTAGAAGGGAAATTATCATGTGATTTAAACAAGATTAGACGATTCATTGCATTGTAGTCTCGTGCCTTTGATTTTCCAGTGGGTATTCGACTAGCCTCTAATTTGTACGCACCATGAAGATTGATTAATAGTATAGCTCACGCAGGACTATTTTCCATAATCCCCCAACCCCCATACTCAATTTCTTAAAGGAAAACTGACGCTTAATCAGAGCTAATGTGTTTCAAGAACAACGTTAAGTACAGCTTTTACTTAACCCCTTTTAACATGTTGTAATATATTGGCTATTACATCAATAACATGCTCTCAAGAAGTTTCGACTAGAAGCGATGATTCCTCCATTTCTTTTTGCTCCCATCATAAATAAAAAACAGTTAAAACACCATGTAAAGCTAAAACACTACACAATATTATAACAACATCACACCTCCAATGTACACAATATTATATACAACTGATTGTCTCACAATTTCACAATTTTGACACTTTCTTCTTGATTGTGGATTTGAGCATAAAAAATTAAGATGGTAAAACTAAGATAAATATCTAAAAACTTCTACTTCCATCTATAAGAGTGAAATTCGGATATTTGGAATGTTCAGAGAGATAGAGTATTACGCTTGTATTGCAGACATTGTCCCACTTTCCGACAGCTTCGGGTTGGCGTGATTCAGCACGCCGCCCTTTTCATCAAGACGCTTTCTAAATATGCCTAGCAAAATTTCAGATCAGATTATTCCTTGCACGTACTGGCTTCCACAAATGTTTTAAAACATCCCAATTTAACAAAACCTAAGCTGTTTTTTACCCTTACTAAAGTACCTGCTGAAGACAGTACATGATTTACTTTATAACACCTGGAATTTTGGCCAAGAGTGGTCTTTATATTCTTTATACTCTAGACAGTCTGACGACATATGCACCCCTCGTGACAGTCCCTGTGGGCTTCCCATTGGTCCATATGATCCCATCTGATGCTGTGACGTAGGTATGCCTTGTGACATCTGATTGGACGGCGGCATGACCGGAAGCTGCATAGAAGGTGGCAGGTAGTCCATATTACCATAATAGGAAGAAGGTGTGTAATTTTGGGGAGTGTAAGGGGTTTGGGAATTGGCCATGTGGTAGGAGGAACGCTGCATGCAGCTGTTGGGGCTCATGTAGTCGCCAACTGGTGATGGAGCGATGGACGCTGGAGACCAGATAGATGCTCCGTTGCCGTTGGTCAGATGAGACTCACTCTTGATTGGCGGTGGGATATCGACAGGTGGCGCTGGTGGTTTGTATGTGTCAGGCGTCCCAGGCGAGACTGCATGCTCTGAGGGCGGCGTCTTCGGTTTTTTAGGACGGCTTTTATTGAGGTCTTGGGGATTTTGCTGCTGTTGTGCTTTCTGTTGCTGTCGACATTTTGCCCGGCGATTCTTGAACCATACCTATGGCAAAAAGAAATAACAGACTCGGATCACTAAGCGGTCAATGCTATTGCGCAATGCAGAAGCCTAGACTACAACAGTCAAATTTTACCAATAGAATAAATCACAAAACAAATGAACAGCCAACGATCAGGCCAAATTTTCAAAACAAAAGGAAATTGTACCCTGTGCATAAAACAAACAATAAACATTTACTTGAGCAAATTAGATCAATATTCCCGGGTTTATTATAATGACACATTACAATATTGGATAGGAGTGTCAATATATTAGCGACCCACGTGATAACTTAGGTTTGCGCAGTTCTCTGGGCTTTTATCGATTCCAACAAAACCGTCAGATTGAGAAGACCTACAGCGGAAATTTCGTAGTAGTTTAACATTGTCGCAAATGCTGTAGTATTATTTAGAAAATATAGACAATTGCATGATATACGTTTCAAAAGTACACTCTTTGCTAGATCCTGCTAGAATGCCAACAGATTTTACAAAAAGCCCAGCGGTTTGCAGGTCAGCTCGTTTAGACTTAATCACATAGTTCTCTCACTGTGGCTGATATCATAGCTATTACACAACATTGGTTATGTTTATCACTCATCGTTGGTAGCAACGCAGTCGCAACGTTATTGTCACTTTGACGAAATTATATAACACCAGAGAGCTCACTATAATAGGAACATAAACCTTATCGAAAAAAAATCCCATTTCAACATTCATTTAACATAGAGGGTCGAACAACGGAATGAAACAAACTTGAATACATATGTCAAAATAATTTATATTATTAAATTGAGAGAAAGTGTTTGGTTTTTATTTTATTTATTTTTTCTGAATTTCTTTAATTTAAGACTTTCTATATTGAGTAACGCACCGATTCGATCCCGATTTAGATGTTAATAATATCTGCATCATGTAATTCTCCTTCAGTTTATGAGATTTTCCATGATCTCTTGTACATATATATTATAACCCCATATAAACCGTTTAGTACACTTCACTACCATGTTTACTAAATTATGTCAGTACAAATCAAAAGGAAGCTTATTGAATCGAATCGTTGTTAACAGAGAGGATAAAAGTGGATAATGCGCCCCGAAATCTCTCGTTCAAACCAAAATCACCCACTGTAAATCAGACGGGGGTTTCCCGTCCTAGAACTAATTGACCTGCGTGAGAAACGAGCTAGGAAACAGGCATGATAACTACTTTGGATAAGAAATATACACTGCATTTTTAATGTACCAGGGGGAAATTGATAATGGACAAATATGTGTATAATTCCACCGACGCTTTAGCAACCATTAAACACAGTGCACATTTCCCCCCGCTCAGTGACGTCCGAAGGTTCCTCACAGCAGTAATGTATTTCGGGTGGAAAGAAGACAGCTTGGGTACTAATTTGTGGTATCCTGATGTATTTTATTAGTCTTGTGTCTATTTTCCTAAAGAAATATCCGCCCAGAGAAACCCCAAGTTAACTAATATTTCTGTTTATCTCGAGGTGATGGGGGCATTAATGCCAGCCTGGTGTCAACCGCTCAACTTAAAGTTTGTTTTATTTGTAATTTGCTCTAATTGGGTTTAAAAACTTCACCAGCCAAAAGCCACTTGAGAACTTCTATTGTGCTTTATGAATAGGGGTCCGTTTTACATAGTTTTGCTTTCCGGGGTAAATTTGATCCAGAAGAATAGCGCGTCAATAGAGCTCTGTTTACCCGTTACCCCGCAGTTCTGACAAACTGACAAGCCCGCTCCCTCTACGACTTACGTGGTTCGCACTTTGTCATGTTTGTTAGCAAATATCACATTTAAAACGTGCTAGCTTTGGAAAAGGCCAGGTCTTTAAATCAAACACGACTCCACAAAGCGACCAGTTGACAAATTCAAACAAAAAGCGGGAGATAAGATGAATTTCTAATTGAACTTCAACATCCGAAAAAAAATCCTTTCGCTTTTGTGGCTATCAAGGTATCTTTACTTCTAAATGAGACTCAGAAAACATGTATTCTTCAAATTCATGACACCTGTAATTTTTTTCTTCATAAAGTGAAAATATAATACAATTATTCCTGTTTAGGCAAAAGATGTCAAAGTTTACAGAATCCTCCTATTCCTTGATGTGATTTTGTTAAGTCCATACTGTGAGTCGACAATCAGATTGTATTTTGCCAAATATTTCTGTTACATTGTTGAATGTATTATTTTCATTCCCTTTCCTAATGGTTTTCTTAATCAACTATCTGTTACAACACACAGAAGTGGAGGTTTTACAAATTGTCTTCTTTGCTATCTTGGTGCTTCAGAATATCCGCGTATCCAGGAAGACGAAGCCACAAACAAACTTCACGAATTCCCTACGTGGGACAAACCTGAAAATTACCTAGTCATCGCTATGGCAGGTCCAGAATGAAATGTAAATATTTAAAACCCAACTCCATTACTGGCGGAGATAATGCTCTGGCATTGCTCTGAAAAAATTTTCTATTTTAATAAAATTTTTCTCCCAGCCAAAAATATTTCCCGTCCGATGCTGCTGCAGTAGAGCAAATTGCTGATTAATTTGTTGAATTTAGATTGACACCTCCGCAAAGGTGATTCACAACGTGGCAAAGGTTATCGGGCATAGTTGACCTTGGGCTTAGCTTGAGATAGGGCCTCGATGACTTGGCAAGCTCGACAAGTCGTAACTATAATTTTCGGCATAATTTACTCTTTTGTCATCTCTCATTGATAAAGTTTATTAATGATGATTGCAACCTTGCTTGATACGAAAACAATTTTTTAAACGATGATAAAGATTAACTTATTTTAATATTTTCGATGTTATTTAACTACCAAAAACAATGGAACAACTAATTTCTTGTTAACCCGTTATTATATTCAGTATGTATATTTTTTCATAAATATCGTCACTTTGGCTTAATATGGCCATTGCGATCATGGCCAACAGCTTGTATTTTAAACAATGATCATTTCCATTATCTTCATGAAAGGGTCAATTTTACATTCAATAAAATCGGGAATAGGACTATCAGAGTTTAGAGTGTTTATATAATGACCGAGTTTTGAATCGGTATATCATGACTGATATAATCTATCGGCGAACTCACTCGTTCAGCTTTAATTAAATAAATTGCAATTGTATACAAGCACAATTTATAGTCGTTTTAAAATAATTTTTTACTGTAAACCAGGAATTAGAACATTAAATCTATTTCCTTTCTGCACTGAATTCAATACCTCCTTAATATGCGTTGGTTTATTTATTTATTTATTTATTTATTTATTTATTTATTTATTGTTTCTTTGTTTTTTTCCCTTTTTAAAGACAAAACCATAGTACAGATTAAAAATGTAACAAGTCAGTGAAAATAAGGTGCGCAAAAGTGCGTTGAAGCAGTAAGTTCATCACATCACTAATTGCATGTATTACCTGTACTCTTGATTCTGGCAAATTGATTTTCAGTGCCACCTCCTCTCTCATAAAAATATCAGGGTAACGGGTCTTCTGGAAGAGCGCTTCTAAAACATCTAATTGTGCCCTGGAGAAAGTCGTCCTCTCCCGCCTTTGTTTGCGTGGTGCTGAAATGGAGAAATGGCTAAGTGAGCGCACAAAATGGACAGCTGTGTAATTGGTGCTATTTTATGCAAGATGAGACAGAAAATTATCAGGGGCATTTTCTTATGTCACGACTTGTCTCTGTCCTAATTTAACTTTCTCTTGATGCAAGCGGCATGGGCATTTATCAGTTTCATAAGCAGTGGTGGGTTTTAAATAACAGTTTCAATATGAAATGAACTAGCATTAACCCCGCCACCTCGCACAATTCTAGGTGACTAGATTGGAATTTTATATATTAGACGTACTAAAAGCGGTCATGAATTATTGAGTTTCACGCTCTCCTCCTACTTACAACGTTTACAGTATATTGAACGCAAATACTTGAGCCTGCATTATTTTAACGAACTATTCGTTCTATTTTTCATGGTAGAATAAATAAGGATAAATGTAGTGTACATCCGTAACACTGCCAAAAACACATCATAAGACGAAGGACAAACAGATAATTTGTGCAAGAACTTGCCATGAAGATTAAAGAGATTTGAAAAAACACCGTCACGGTTCTTTAATAAAAGATTGGTTGTTTACCGAAAACCCTGTTATTTAATTCACAACATCTGGGAAGTTGACAAGGTAAGCGCAGCCTGTCCAGCTGTAATTGACATTTCATGACCGCGTCTGCAAATCTTTAATCCGAATTTATGAAACAAATCCCTTTCATATAGACATTAATCAAATTCACAGTGTGACTTACTTGCACGACACACCGGAAAGATTTACTAGATTAGAGTGTCGCGTTGACAATTATAGTTATAATTAAGTTTAAAAATAAATAAATAAATTACACCAAAAGGCAAACGGATACTTTACGCGTTTTTCTCTGTTCATACAAATAGTTAAATATCAAACGCACCAGTAAAAGCGGCTTTTGAATTTTTTACTCCTTTGCTTATACTTGCTAAAGATTGTATAAGTAGAAAATTATCTTACTAACAGATAGTGTACAGAAGTATTCTGTCGCACATGTCACATAAATATTATCAAGTTATCCATTTTGCACATTCCCATGTGTAAGCGACAGGTGGGGCAATATTACCAAAATAATTGAAACAATTAGAGGTTTCTTCAAAACTCGCCCCATTCTTCTCCGACCAATTCGAGTCAAACATTCAACACGGTACAATGAATAATGTCTTAGGAGGGCGGGCAGGGGGTGGGCTACGTCATGCCAAGCGATAATGTGTTTGCTCCCCACAAAAGTAAGTTAGTAATACAGTTATTTTACTTCCTAATGCAAACCGTTGTCCTATTCAGTCCTTATGCCCTGCGCACTGCCACCACCAGGTAAATTAGAGCTTGAACAGTAATTAAGCCTAATCATTCTTTTTTGTCCCGTTTTCAATATGTCAATATAATACTACTAAGAATGGATATCCAAATATGTTCTGGGTTTGCTTTAAGTCCACGTGGTTGAATCACAATAGATTTATACAACAAACCATAGCCATAAAGTCGCCATTTAGAATAGTGAGGAAATATCTGAATGCCTTGTGAAAATAAAATGAATCTGGCAATGAATACAAGTAAACAGAGCTGGGAAATCGAGACGAGAACCTATGGAGACCTCACTCAAAATATATACGCAACTTGTAACCTTCCAGTAAAAGTGAATTAAGGGGGCTATCTTTAAATATTTTCATGGCATTCGGTGCACGCGTCTCTTCGGTACAAGGTGGTTGAACGAAAACTCTTGTTTTCTGCTGATGCCAATTTCACGCCAGGAATCGATTTTTCAACTTTCCCAAGCAGCTATTCTTCACATTCCATGTGACTTTGTTCAAAACAAATTTATTTCAGTATTGTTCAAATTATGTTATTGGTTTTTATTTCAATTTCGATTAATTTCGTTTTTATCTTTTTCCTTGAAATATCGACCGTGCAATTTGCATTTTTGAAACCATATAATTTGTTCATATTAGTATTTGTATATACATAAACCATATTTTGTTCAATGCCATTAATCGGAGAATCCATTTAAAAGAATTTGTCGCGTAGTGACTGTCTTTTGTCAAAGGACACAGAAATGTGAAGAATGCGAGAGCAAAGGACGGTGTCGAAGAAAGGCACAGCGGGACTCGTCCCCGGTTCTCGAGCGCAAGGTTTTGTCTTGAAGAAGCCACCCACACGGGCCCATACAAGACAACCGGAGGCAGGTTTTCAAATCAGAGGCCACTGACAAACAACTGAAGTGCTTGTTAAGATCGAGCGATAGAGTGGAAAACCACCGTTAAAACAAGTGATTCAACTAAATAAGGGTAATTTACGCATTCAGACAAAGCGACTGGTAATGTCTTTGGATCCCAAAATAATGAAACTTCCTGTCAACAAATTTGTCAACCTCCGTTTCTGGGCTTAATTACCAGTCATTAAAGAATCATTTGTTACGACGTTCCAATATCTCAACACGCGCGTCCCGTGAAAAGAGTTACTTTGTTTTGGTTGGTGTGAAATCCTTTAAGTGAAATCAGTTATCGGTATTCCTAAAATTTTTCCACCTCTCTTCTGAAATTTCAACACCACACGGAGTGCAAATATCAATGTCAATTTGCCATCCCCACCTCGGCAAAAGTGCAAACAAATCGTCCATCAATTCTTACTGACGTGGCCAGTTTTGCAGTTAAGGTAAAGAGCTCCTGAACGTTTCGACAACTTGGTCAACAAATCCCTTCGCAGACATTGATTCAGCTTTATTTCAATGCAAATCATAAAATAATGGAAATATCCACGCCCTTAGTTTACCCGTCTAAAGTGGAGGGAAGTTCAAATAGACCTGATTACATAAACATATCTGTGTGCGCTTTCAATTTAAAGCCAATGTCTTGTCTACCTGTTCGAAATGTCTGGGATAGTCGACTATGATTTTAAGAAACGTTAAGTGTGGATCCCAGTTGTGCTTAAGGATACATAGTACACGGTCTTGCCTATTTTACACTAGTGTATGCTTTCGGAAGTTAAGCCCGTGTCCTGACTCTATCCTCTAACCCCCAATAATGCTACTAATCCTCTATAATCATCTAATCTGGGCATCGAGAACTCGTACCAACAACCAACAAAAATACTCCTTAAGATTGGTTAACAATAGGTATAACGTGATATGTATCTTTAATTTACAAGTTTCAAGTGGAATACTACGCGCGTACATCATGTTAAGATTCTCGTACTGTTAAAAAAAAAACATTCAAGGTAGAAATCTGATTTTTTTTCTAAAGAAGGTCAAATTTAAGAGTCTGCGTGTATGGAATTGAGATTTCAGTGAAAAGAATATCGTGATAAAAATATATATCTTTAACTAGAACTACGACTTGAAATTTATTATTGTAAATGAAACGGCCACAAACGTCACCATTCAATATACGGTGTATGCTAGGCATTTCAAGACCACGACTTTACAGCTTTAAAAAATAATAATGAATAAAGCACAAATGCTGTACTTACTCTGATATGTCATGGCCGGGTGCATCATGTCCACATTATGAGAGGTGAGGCTGATCCCGTTGACGGAGTACGGGGCAACTTTGGTAGTTGGCGGCATTGGAGAGTAGGCCATGCTACCCATGGAACCGTGGTAAGAAGGTAACAGCGCCACGATGAAGAGATTTATCTACAGCTGTTCACACTAACTGGATCCGCAATGTGCCGTTGCTGCCGTTCTCTTTCCTCCTTAAAATCCGGTTAAATATTCCTTCGGGTTGCCTCGGACTTTCTGCTTTAACACTTTCTCAGGAGGCGATGACCCTTAAGATACCAGAACAGCGTCGGTTGTGGTCTTCTCTCAATCTCTAGGAATATCTGGGAAGTTCTGGACTAGGGTCACTCACGTGTTAACGTTCCTTGTCGTTGTTGGTCACCCGACAGTGGCCAGCTGGAAAAATGATAGTACTATTAACTGTAATCTGGCAATGAGTGATATGTGGCAGTGTCCGCGTGGTCAGACTATCTGTGTGACAGTGTGTTGATGACGGAAGGCGGCCAGCATATGATGTCTTCACACACCACGAAGCCCTTCCTCCCCACGCGGAGCAAACAGAGCGTTACGTAACCAGGCCTGTCCCCGCAACTACCCAGGTGCGCCGGGAGAGGCTAGAGGGGGACACCTGTGGGCCAGACCCGGGGTGACAGGTCCCGAGGCAATTTTCACACTTCCCGTCGGGGACATCCACTGGTGTAATCCAGCAAGCTAGAGAAGGGGGGGGCGGAAGGAAAGATGACTAAAGCAAACGTGTCGACTTATCTGTACACGAACGTAAACATTTGTCGCAACGACCTATTTTGAGACCGCCAATCTGGAACAAACTTGATAGGTCGGTCGGCGGGTTGTTCATTTAGATGTGCCCGTACCCCTCGTTTGTGCGCAACCTGTTCCCCTTCACACGAACGTTGGACCATTCGCCCGGTACCGCAGGGTGTTGATAGAGTCTTTTAGACGTGGTCAGTTATCGCCCCCAGTGCTAATCGCCTGTCAACACGGGGGACACTACTCCGTATTCAGGTGCACTCATTCCCGTAATCAACCTATACACACACAAGTTACACTAACAGCCGAGATAAGACCTGGCCCGTTAATTAGTCCATTTGGCAAACACCCCTCCTCAGTAAGTCAGCTAACTTTTATCAATGGAATTGACAATAAATAAACACCAATAAAATGTATTTGTCTTGTATTTCTCAATCGATGTACGGTTGAGGAGAAAGTCCATAAAACATGAACGGTTAATCAATGTTAAAGCCTACTTGAATGTTAATCCCTTTTCAAGAAAGTTAAGATTTCACGCAGGTTTTAAAATACTATTTTTTTTTCTAAATTAAATGGCATTAAATATTACCGCTATTGTTCATACAGCACCCACCTCCGCCTACCCTCTTCTTTCAGGTCTAACAGAAGAATGATGTGAGTAGCGGTGCACCCTTCATTAAGGATAATTTAAGAACATGTGTAGCTTTATTACGTGTGCTGTTGTTGATTTTCGCTTCAGGGTGCTTACCCGGCGCGGTGGGAGAAATATGGAGGGCGGAGTTAAGGCGGGCATTTAATCATCACTCTTATTAATTGCACACTGAGATGGTCAGTATGGTTGGACAAGCCTTATGGGCACATTTCGAATGGAAATGATTTTGTGTCTCGTAAAGTGAAATTCTCAGCCAGCGGCCGTAATTTAATTAAGTTACAGTATATGTTGAATATCAAGCCCGTTAAAAATTGATTTTAAACAAAGCATAAGGAATTTTAAACCTAGCTAACCTTAAAATTCTACAAAAAAATAATCACTGGAGAAATAGTCACCGATTGAAAAATTCACTTGAACATGGTTGTGAATAAAATTTCGACCAAGTCTTGCAGTTTTCCTAACATTTTGACCCGAAAATAAGTTTATCTGAAATACCGCCCACTCTTTCAGTTGATAACTGGACATGTGGCAACAACCCGCAAACCCCAGTTCCGGCGGGAGCTTGATCAGTGCTCCGGAAGGTGTTGCCAACAAACAAACTGGACAGTGGCGATCTTAAAAACACTGGTCAGCGTTGCGAGACCGTAGGGGTTTCCTGTGCTGGGCGTGATAAGGGAGAGTGACATGTTTGGACAATTAGTGCCAGCTTCATGAATTACCTCTGATTGCTTCCTTTTACTTCTAGCTCCTAGCTTAATGAATCCCTAATTTGTGTAATGTTGTTTTTGTGTGGAATTTTCACGGACTGTCACAACAAGCTTGTTTTCAGGGTATTCATCGAGGCGTGAATATTCCACAAACACCTTTGGGCGGCCCGAGTTTTTGTTTTTGCAGTTAACATTCCAGTGGACAGTGGGTGTAAAGGGCTGTATACAGTCGTAACATTGGGTAATAACAATGCTGCTATTCTGAAAGGCCGCGGACTTTGTGTCTCCGGTTCTTATCAATAGAATACGATGTTGCTATCCCGAAAATGTTACCGTTGCCTCATCGTGGCGACGACTGGAAGCTAAATTCTGTGAGTTCTTATATACAAGTGATCAATTCTTTTCTAAGTAGAAATTCTTTACGTCGCGTTAAGTCTTAAGAATTTAATACATCATTTCATGTAAAGAATAAATAAAACCGCAACCTAAGCCAACCAAGACCACATGCATTATTTAATATAAATTATTTGTTTCTTGTTGCAGGGAAATATTTTTAAAATAAAAAATTAAGTTTTTGACAAATTCGACAGAACGATTAACTGACTGCAGTAGTTTCTTTACACTTCGGTATCTTAAATCTATTTTTTCGTATCTCTGTCAACGAACACCGTCTTTGTTTTATTTTACCACAAGCCAACCAGATAACCCATAGCAACTACGTGTCCAAAACGTGAAAATACAACTGAAGCTTATAAAAGTAATGTATGATAATCATAAAAACAATTTCGTTTGAAAATAGATAAAAACATCTACACTTGTTTTTAGCTAGGTCCCATAGACAGTAAAATAATTTTGCTGTGTTAGATTTTTAAATATAATGTTTAAAAAATAATGTTTTCATACACTTTTACAAAACGGTAAATGATAATTTATGATTTATTCGTTTTTCTTTTTGCAAAATATTTATTGTTCGAGCACGTATCTCTCATTTTGTTCAGTGAAGTATCCTCAGAAATTAGGAAATAATCAAGTTGATAGATATATATATGTAAACAAATAAATATATAAACAGATAGATTAATGAATGGAACAGAAAATAGATAAATGCGACGAAATGACTAACAAAATATGTTTTTCGCCCTCAGAAAACAAATAAGATATATTTAGTAATCACAAGAATTAATAAGGTATATCTGTAAATCTTAACTCAGCATGTACTCATGTTTTCCTCATCGTCATATCTAGTGAGTCTTGACCAGTTCCATATTTTTCTTCCAGATCAAACAGGTGATTTGGAAAGGATAAGCTAGGTATTTATGTAAAACTTCGTCAACTTAGCGCAGATCTACCTCATTAATCAAATTCTGACGAGATATTCGTTACTGATAATGCAAACACGCCTGCTGCTCTTTGGAAAATCATGAAATTGTTGACGCAGAAAGCCCGTTCCCGCTGCGAGCCACAATGCGGCGTGGGGCGGATGAATGTTCAAATCTGGATTTTCACGGGGTGCAACATATGCGGCCAGGCTGACAAAGACAGGGCCGTCACCGATCTAATTTCCTGCACAGACAGATACTGTGATTGAATTGTAGACACCCTGCTGGCGTTGCCGAGTCTTTGTATAGTGAATATTCATTTTTTTATCATTATACGACTCTGCTGGGGACGGAAGGAAGGAGGAAAGGAGAGAGAGAGAGAGAGAGGGTGGAGGGTGAAAGATAGTTATCGTTATCATCTGCGTTATTACGTCGCATCGGCTTCTAAAATTAGTAATGTTCCAGCGCTTATTGTTTATAGTCGTTGAACATTGTACCGGGGACAAATTAATTTTATTAAGCCGACGTGACTTGATCTAATTGATTTTCAAGGTTACGAAATAAATTTCCAAAAAATCTCAACAATTGCTTTTCTTTTCATGGCAAGTTACATTAACCGACAAGGCAGAAAATTTCGTTAAAATTTCACATTAAGTATGTCCCTGTCAACAACTCTTGAAACCCAAGCCCTTTCATTTGTCAAAGACGTCGTGTAATTATTGATAATTTACCAGTTTTGTGGCTTCTCGACACAATACGCATTGAAAGCATCAATGCCCCTGAAAAATGGGGGACATTCGGGGTTCTATTGAAATTTTACTGTAATGTATCTATGACAATATCTCAATCAGTATTCTGCTGTCAGCGACAGTTCTGTACCAAATGACTAAATTACGGTCCATCAATCCCTCTTACGTTGATCAAATTTCTTTCTACCCTGCGCCGATGAACTAAAGATCTTTTCCTAAAATAACCTTTGCTTCCAAGGGACTATAATATATTTACAAATGCATTTTTTTTTTTGCACAAGCTGCTTCGAATAAAGAGAGAATTGAAAGAGAATTATGAACATATGGAGTTCACAGGGCTTTTTTTTTTAATTCAGTATGGAAAACAACTACGACTTATGTAACGTTATGCTGCCGAATGTGGTATGTGTGGTATAAGATGTTTCACGCTCAGTAAAGTAGATTATTGATACAAAAAAAATTCCAAAGATCGTGAAGTTCACTTTTTTTTTTAGATGTCAACAACTTTGTTTATCTTTAATAAGTTTTTTTCCGTGGCCAGTAAATCCGCGGTCTCATGCGACCATGGTGAAGCCGTCCTAATAGCCGAAACATTGGCTTTAAATAAAATCTTATGCCCGCTGTTTTCTTCCATGAATGGACCACAAAAATAAATAAGAAGAAAAATAATAGATAGAAAAATAAAATAATATATACATGTAAAGTTATTCAGAAAAAAAAGGTAAAGTTCTTGTGAGCAAACAGAAAATAGACAACCACTTTTAATTTTTTTTTTTTTTTGCCTGATTCTGTACATTTTCCGGATTTTTAACCACTGAGTGCTCAATTTCCATCAAAACATTTATCTCTCTTCAACTCTAATTGACTTAATAAAGTGACATAAAGCCCAATGCTTACGAAGTGTAAATTCAAGCTTTAATGCCGTCCCATAGGAACATGTGAAATAATGTAGTTAGCCATGTTTTATTTAAAAAGAGACGGATTATCGCGAGAGTGGCCCTTGATAGATCATTTCTGGTAATTGAATAATGTGTGAAACCAAGGAGAAGTGCCTTTAAAACGCTCAGAAACCAGTGTGAGCATACATGGCCAGCGCATATGGCGACGCTGAACGGCGTGTAATCTGTGTAACAAAATTACTCTGATCAAGTGAGGAAACATTACACGGTGACAGATATCCCGCAACTAAATTTAGCTGACACTGTTTTCCAGACAAAAGAATTTATGCTAAACCAAAATGCAATACGCCTCAAAGAAAGTAAATGCTTTTATCAAATTAAACACGTGAAACTAGTAAGAAATTAGGGTCAATGTATATGAAATAAGGATTAATGTTTCCTAATCTATTAGCTAGTAATTAAACGAAATACGCGAGGGACATTGAAATTTGGCCATATTGTTGCCTAATAATTTTTAACATAGATATAAGGTTTTATCTGGTTAATGTTTTTCTCACTATTTTTAATATTTTATCTCAAAAAGTTTTGCCACTACAAATTATTCTTGGGGAAAATTTTTCCATTTTGATATAACATTTTGTACCTCATAATACTAAAATAGAGGGAAAATTTCTTCATTGACGTAATGGCAATCAAGGGCAGAAAAATGAAGTCGTGACACAGCATTCTTGAAATAAAACCAAACGTTTGTTTTAGGCTAATTAGAAGAGCGACAAAATACTGACAGTTTTGTTTGAATTATGTATGCGTACAATGAGAGGCGTGGAGCATTAAATTGTTGTTTATTGATATTGTCACGTTTTGTCAACTTCAACGGGCACTGTCTCTACACAATCTTCCATCTGTTACGCATCTTTGAGTGGTATGTGTCCCCTACATAGTGTTGTGGACGGAAACCAAGAAGCTCGTGTCAAATTTTCAGGTAAACTTGCGCCCGCCTCGCGATAAGAGTGTTGCTATCTGGAGGGTTTTCATGTTGG